CACGCAAGGTCATGATGAACGCAACCACATGGCGGTCGTTGTCCAAGTCGGATCAAGAGGCATGGGACAGGGCAAGAAGAGCATCTTGACTACACGGCTGACCTAGCTGTTCGACGTAGTCACCACAACTCTGGGCAATCACGCCCATCCCGCTCAGTCAACTCCCACGACCTCCTCGACATGGGCAGCACCACGCCACGAGCAGGCAACCTAGAAGTGTCCTCGCACCAAACCAAGTCCACAAGACGGACACTGACCTATTGCAGCTCGGTGCAACAAGACGCATTCACGCCAACGTCCTTCGCGTGATATCGCGTCCGTCCTATCACAGTCGACCAATACGGCTACACGCGAGGTACGAGTTCACGAGGTTGATCGCTCAATCCTACGAGTCCTACTCCCACGAGATGTTGTTCAGCGAGCCAGAGATTGACCACTGATTGTGCAACCCTTCGTATATTTCTCTGATGACCGATGACAGCCAAACACAAAACTCTCGTGACAATACGACGGACCAGGGACCTCCTCGACGTACCAACGAAACGGATCCTCCAATGCCCGCACTCGATTGATGGAGAACAATCCTTCTCCGATGATCAGGCTTTTTTCACAGTTTGCTTACGGTACTCCCAATACGAGGCTATTGATACGAATACCCAACAGCAAATCCAAGAGGATCATGAAGGTACCACACCTTCGAACCGCAAGTCCTGTGCGATGAACCCTTCGACCTCTGGACACGTCGGCGCATCTCCTCAGCCATGGAAGCACAGCTAGAACCTACTGCAATACACGGCTCTTAGCCTTATTCGCGACTCGATCCTAGATAGGGTTTGAGTTCGACTCATGCTGAGTTCTCGTGAATAGTCATTTGAGACAGGTTCCAATGACCGCGCTAGTCATACTAGGTTGATGATGAAACATCGCTCTAGATATTTTAGCCAGCGTGGAGTACTTCCACGCTACTAGTCAGCTAGACAAACCTTCCACGCGTTCCGTTTTGGGATCGTGGAGAGACGTAGATTACTACCACAACCTACTCTATCACACTTTATAGTCTCCCGCGGGAAGCCAGATCTACGATCCCTTGATGATGATCTCTCTCGTTGATTAGTTTCATAGCTTTTCAATCTCTCTCATAACTTTCATTCTCTCAAACTCAAAACACTCGAAAGATCTATACACTAACTCTCTCTTTCGCTTGTATTAACTTTCATTCTCTCAAACTCAAAACACTCGAAAGATCTTTACACTGCTTTTAGCGTAGTGCATTTTGTTAACAAACACAATAGCTTTCAGCTACCCTCAACCTATTCCTTCACCATGAAAGATGGCTCAAGGAAAGCATCGTTCCGCAACTTCGAGAAACAGTGCGTGACAAACCCATTCTTCCTCTCGTCGACAATGACGAAGAAAACGAGATCGACGATACTCGTACAAAGAGAGATTAGAAAGCTATGAAAAACTAATCAACGAGAGAGATCATCATCAAGGGATCGTAGATCTGAACTCCCGCGGGAGACTATAAAGTGTGATAGAGTAGGTTGCGGTAGTAATCCTACGTATCTCCACGATCCTAAAACGGAACGCGTGGAAGATTCGTCTAGCATGGATCTAGTAGCGTGGAAGTACTCCACGCTGGCTAAATATCTAGAGCGATGTTTCATCATCGACCTAGTATGACTAGAGCGGTCATTGAGAACCCTGTCTCAAATGACTATTCACGAGAGACTCAGTCATGAGTCGAACTCAAACCCCATCGAGTCGCGAATAAGGCTAAGAGCCGTGTATTGCACTGGCTTGTTGGTGCGGATCCTGATTCCTGCCTGGTTCATCTTGACCAAGAATCCAGTGATCCTCTTGAGTCTTTCCAGATGCCCCACCCTGGGTGCCACTCTGAAGGATGACATTGACATTACAGAGACCGCATCTAAGAAGCACAATTTTAGGTAGTTGTTGAATCCTCATGTATGGATATTCCCATACTCAACCTTTTGGTTGTGAATCCACAACCAAATTTCTTCTGGATTTGAGCCATTTCTTGTAATCTAGACTGCTGGTCCTCTATTGGTACTTTTAGTGGTTCTAGATTGACAACTTGCCTATCTCTCGATATGGAACTATCATTTTTGGAGTTCCAGTTTGGCCCCTGCTACCCTCTTTTCCACAACCTAAACCTCCAGGTCTGGAAACAAAACTGCTTCCCAATCCACGAGGAAAAGGTTCCAAGAACACTGTGGCGCCAAGTTGGATGTGGAGAAGCCACTGTTGGATGGTTGTTCTTTGTTCTGTAACAGGAGAAGGCTTGATTGGTGAGCTGATAAGCCCTTGATTTGGATGTGGCGCTGCTTCTGTTCCCCAAGGTGGACTTGGATTAAGAAGGAGGGCAAGCTGTTTTGGGAAGTGTCATTGGAGAGTACTCTCTTTTGACAGTAAAATATTCAAACAGACTTCACGGAACAGCCTGCCCGGCTGCACTTTTCGAAGAAAAACTCCTCACTCATCAACCAACAACAACAGCAACACAATGGTGGAGAGATCGAGCGGCCGATCGCTACTACTAGTATTATGGGTAAGTCTATTATCAGGTCTATTATTGAAGGAGCATCACTAACTTCTCTCCCTCGTTGAATTCCTATAGTAAACAGGAGAGAAATATCAGCTTGGCCGACAACAATGCATGGTGAGTGCTTTATACAATCGGGCTTAGTTGAATCGATCGATCGAACGACTGGCTCGGTACGAGGTAAGCCTATTATCAAGTGTGTTAATTGAAGGTACAGCACTGACTTCTCTCCCTCATTGGATTTCTATGGTATTCAGGAGAGAAATCGGAGCTTGGCCGTCAACAGGTGAGTTGGCATTTCATTATTCGAATCGATCGATCGCACCTCTGTTATCCAAGCCTCACTCAAGCCGTCCTTCTCCGGTGTAGATTTGAAAGCCATCCCTCATTGAATCCTATGGACCATGGGATGGCAGTCAGTTCTCGGCCCATGATGGCCAAGTTGGTGGAATTTGAAAAACAAGAGTAAGTCTCCGGTTTTCTTCAGTTGAGCACAGAAGACAAAACTCATATCTATTTGTTGTTTTCTTTGCTGCACTGCCAACGGCCGATTAAATCCCATTGCTGAGCCCTTTTTGAACGAATGAACGATCGCTCCGCCGGATAACAAGAAGAGGAGAGGCTACCGCTACTGAGGAGACTGTTAACTCAAGCCCTATCACCAGCCTGAACAGTGGAGATCGTCATCGAGTCATTGAATGGCAACAAGAGGAGGCTGCGCAACAACACTCGTACGAACAGAGGAGAGTGGATCCTACTACTGGATTCATCCCTCCAGTGTTATTTCCTAGTGTTTTCGTGGTGATTCCTGTGTCGGTACCCATTTTCCCGCATGCACAAATCCACGACAAGGACTTGGTGGATTGACTTGGTGTTGTCCTCGACTTAGGGAATTTTGCCGAAGTCATGAAGGAGGACGGTGATTGATTTGGAGGATGTAATAGATCACTATAGATAGAGTAACAGATTAGATAGAAAGGTTATGAATTGGCAACCAAAGAAACCATTAGGAACCTAGCTTTTAGACCTAGACCTTGCTTCCCAATCTGCAACTGAGAGTGGTTCCCAATCCACAACCGCTTGGAGGTTGCCAAAATGGACCTTGCCTTGCCTAATTGGAACCTAGCACTTGGTTGGGAAGATGTGGTTGGGATGTGCTTCCCAAACTAGACCAGAGGTTCCCAATTCAGGAACTACCTACAATTGTGCTTCTTAGATGTGCAATATCAAATCTTCCAAGTGAAATTGCCCATTGCAAAGCTCCAATCAGGGACTGGTATTTTGAGATCCCATCATCATCCAGGAGAGGAGAGGTATCAAGCTCTGGGTGGTCGTTCTTCTCCACTGGGCTGGTGACCTTAGTGGATGGATTCTCCCCAAACAAGGATACATACTGGGCCTTGACACGTTCAATGTACTTTCTTGGTGTCATGGACAGGGTTCCGTCGCTATCCCTTTCAAAGTCACATCCCAGATGGAAGGTAACAGGTCCAGTTCCTTTGAGTTTGAACTTGTGTGGTGGAGCCTGCAGCAGATCGATGATGACTTGAGGTTGCTTGGAAGCTATCAATAGGTCGTCAACATAGCAACCGATGTACTCGTAGTGATCGCCACAATCACGCATCCAGATATCTGGCTCAGCCTTAGAGGGCTTGAAGCCAAATCCGTGAAGCACATCGTACAGTCTATCATGCCAACACTTGCCTGATGACTTGAGGCCATATTGGGCCTTGATCATCTTCATCGTATGCCCAGCCATGTCTCCAAACTCCCCACCAGCAATAAAACACACCTTTTCAGTCGTGTAGCTTTCCAGGTATGCATTGCCAATGTCCGTTGCCCAGAGTTCAAGCCCATTCAACTCAGCCAAGAAACTAACCAGACGGATGCCCTGTAAGGACACAACACCTGAGTAGGTTGGGTCTACTGGTGTCTCTGTCCTGTGGCCTCCTGCCACAAACCTTGCCTTGTGCCGTCCATCATGTTTGACGGCATAGACCATATGACATGGTATCTTCTGGTAGCCTGTTGGGACTGGGGTACCCTTTCCCAGTGACTCGAAGGTGTCGTATTCCATCAATTGGGCAATTTCCAGTCTCTCTGCATCCTGCCACTTGCTGTTGCCATTCTTCTCGTCGATGAAAACAGCTTCAGCGTGGTTTCTTGGGACCTGGAAACCGTATTGGTAAATGGGCTTGGTGCGGAAACTTTTCAACTTTGCTTGGTGTACCATACGTGCGAACACCTTGGAGTTCTTGGTATAGGGTTTGCATCGCTTCCATCCATCGACCTTGAGCAGGCCATTCTTTGATGCGTAGATGGAAATTGACACAGGGTCATCATTGAAGATGCTCCCCATATCCTCCCAAGAAGTCTCTCCGCTGGCCCATTGAATCAGCACCTCGTACTTGGACTTAGTTCGGGAGGAACGATGTCAGATGACAGCCTCGATCCGGTACATGTCATCTTTGTCCAGGTCCCTTTCACACCATTCCAGCATCTTTGAGTATGCCAAAACTTCCTCAAAGTATTCGTCCCCATGTTTGCACTTGAACCTGTATACAGCTGCTGATCCGTCTGCGTTGGTTTCTCCTGTGGCCTCGGCAGACACAATCTTGGCTCTATGCTGCTCGCCTTCCTCGTTGGGGTGGGTGATAAAGGTCCTGTTAAGAAGGTTGGTGATGTCAATGACTGGCAGGTTGCCACCGTCTAGGACATCCTTGTGTTCAAGGTTGGATAGGATATCCTTGCGTATGGAGTTGTGAAACTCCCCATTCTCCTCCGTCTCCTCTATCTCGATGCCTTTCTCAATCACTTCAGTCTCCGGAGCGGCCCCGACTACAAGGTCAGCTTCGCTTGTGGAGGCCTTCTGTCCTGAGATTGGCTTTGGCTTGGGGGCCAGTTTCGGGGCTAGTCCATCGGCCTTCCAGTTGCTGAGTTCAGCTCCCTTCCTTGCCGTCCTGGCCACCGCCCTGCATATGACCTTGCCTGACTCCGTCAATATCTTGTAAGTCATCCCATGACCCACGTCTTCCGCTACCCCGACAAAACGGCCCACCGCCTCAACAGAATCTTCTGGAAATGAACCACCGTACTTCTGGTAGTAATATACGGGTTCGTAGAACTCAAACTGAATAAGGGCTGAGATATCCGGTGTGAAACCGAACAACCACTCAAAAGGTGTACGCCAACCAAGGCCAATAAGTTTCAGTTCCAGTACCCAAGTAGTGGACTGGACCTCGCTGAAACCCTTCCTCAGGTACAGCGGTAGTCAGGCAGTTCAGGGAGCCTTGTCGTGCCTCAGGAGTGTTCCAACACCTCCAGTAGGCACCAAGCCAAGGACTTGGCCCTGTCAGTCAGACAGGAGGGCCAGCAGAGCTCTCTGCTGGGCCCTTTGGGCCAGCTCTCCTCAGGAGCTGGGGGCCTTCATTATTCAATCGTGCAGTGGCAGTCTGGGAACAGTACTATCTGCTACCTCCTACTGCTTCTGTCCGGCCTCAACAGGATAGGTATCAACTGCTGCGGTATCAAAGGGGCTACAAGCTAATCAGGATCGGTCTCAATCTTTCGTACTATTTTCTTCACTATGGTGGAAAGGACGATCCTTTCTTGCTGCTTTGGCTGGAGATAAGCCAGCTGTGGGTGCTGGAGCTGTAGGCCAGCATAGCTGTTGGAGCTATCTCTGACAGAATCCAGAGCTCTCGCTCCTAAAAGTTATCGCTCCCCACGAGTGCGTATGGATCCGCTCTCATGGGTATGCCACGATATACGATTAGTTACTAACTAACTACAATACATACTCTCCCCATGAACGGAACATTCATGGGCCACTCAGCATCGACTGCTAGTGGAACACAATGTGAGATTGGAGATCTCACAAGTGGAGGGACTTGCATGGTTGGTCGGTTGCTGGACCAAAGGTAGGCGCAAAGGGATTGCATGCTCATCAGCATGGCCAGACTCGGTAGGTGCCGGCGGTGCTGGTTGCTATCATAGCTGTTGTTTGTTTTCTTCATATGTAGACAAATATTCGTGGCTTTGCCACAGGCCGAATTCAGCGGTGGCAAGCTCTCAGTGGAGCGGCCTTCTTGCCCCGCGGACATGTTCCTTGACTAAAGGCTTTGGGCTCGATCGATCAGGAACGTGAATCGATCGCCCTAGGGAAAATCCAACGGCGTCACTGGGATTGGTTCGTTGCCATGCACTGTGGCCATGGCAGCCAGCTTCGGGGTAGAAAGCATGGTTTCGGTCAGTTTCTGGGAAGGCGACACCATGGCAGTCAGCTCCTGGGTAGGAGACACCAAAGCTGCCTTGGTCAAAGGTGTTTGCTGTGGTTGCTCCCCATGGATTCCACCAAGAGCAGAGGGTATCCGCTTGGTGGGCCTCCTGGCAAATGGACTGGTGATGGTTGGACCAAGGCTGGTCCTATCCAAAGACAACGGCACCTCATTGGGTACGAGTCTTGTGGCATTGGCTGTGCCATAGGTTGGTGGTTCTGTAGGAACCAGGCTGGGAACCTTGGGTGTCACTCTAGGTGATGGACCACTAGGTCGCCTGCCAATGTTGGTTGTGGTGGGACCCTTGTGTGCTCTGTGCCTTGGAGCAGGTTGCTTGGGGGTCACCACTGTGTGAGTCTGCTCATGTGCTCTTGGTTGTAGAGCTGACTGAGTGGGAGCCACACTTGGTTTATTTGGTTGTGCGACTGGAATGTTGTTGGCACCAGCTCTGGAAGCTGGTTGCTTACTGGCTGGAGGTTTTGCCATCATGATCTCCCCAGAGGTTGGATGACTACTAGGGCTGGCAAGCTCGATAATCTCCCCATCACCCAGCTGGTGGTTGGTCCTGCCATGGGCCATTGGTGCCGGCCTCTTCTCAAGGATGTCGAAGGGTGATTTGTATGTTTCTGATGGGAACACTGTTGACACAGGTGATGCCGGTGTCTTCTCAAGAATGTCAAAGACGGATTTGTATTTATATGGTGGTGACACTGGTGGCTGTGTGTCTCGATGCCGGTGGCAGTAGGCTAGGTTGCTGTTGCCAGCTCCATCGTGGTGTGTGGGGCGGGCACAGGCGGTGTAGCTACTTTGGACTTGGGGCCCAGGGTAGGCGCGGTGCCACCAACGTTCGGAGTAGTCAGGTGCATAAGGGTCGCTCACATCGCTGTAGAAACCATAGAAAGACATGGTGCCTCTTGTTGCGGACAAAGAAGAGGTGTGTACTGGTTGTACTGGAAACCCTGGATTTGGCTCTTGTAGCAGGGCAATAAACCTTGACTCAACTGTGATCTGGAAACCACAAAGATGACTTCTTGGGACCTTGCTAGGGGCCTGGGAAATTCAACTTAGTGGTAATTGAATAAGGTGGACCAGGTACAAGGGCTGGGACCTGTTTCCTGTGTTGCCGTGGTGCTGGGAACTGCCTTGGTTTGTGGGATTTTGCCACTGTGGATCCGGTGAACTTGGGTCCAATGAATCTCCCCACAAAAGCTTCAAAAATCCAAGGTGAGGTACCCACAGACCAATTGAAGGATGCTAGTTTCAGCCGTGGTACTCGTGTTGCCGCCGAGGATGTCCTTGTCGACTCGTGGCTCTGCGAGTTACTCTCTTCGTGCAAATGGATTCTTCGTACGGAGCCAAGATATTTCGAGCACGATTTCAATGACTCGACCACGTAAACTCTTAATTTTAAAATGTGAGCACAAACAGGTTACCAAGGCTGAGCCTGCTTTCGGTACGGAGAACCTTGTCCTTGAAACACAGAACCGGTACAGGAAACGTTGTCCGATAAGTCTCCAAGATCAAGGATCGAAGAGGAGCTTCTTGTACGTTCCGCGGGACGTTGGGAACTGACTCAGTGCACGTCGAATAAGTACCAAAACTACACGGACGTTTTGGTTGGCTGAGCCACTTTCGTGAGATCTTCTTCAGCGTTCTGAAAAAGGCTGAATCCGGTACAGGACGGAAACTCGGGACACTCCAAAACTGCAAGGACAATCTAAAGAGATAAGCCTTGAAGATCGCGAATAAATCCCAACCTGCTCCGTGACTCGCTGAAAGGTATAAGCCCGTACTACAAGCGATAAGTCTTGATCGCTGTAGGGGGGTGTAAAATACTCGTTAGTTTAACAAACTATGGCCACGGAGTGGCTTTTATGACGCGGGCAAGTGGTGGGGAAGCCCCCACCTAGCTGAGTCGTCATCTACTTATTTGCCCAATCAACATGACCTCATCCACTGGCCCAACGTGGAGCCAGCACCAAGTAGACAGATGCCCTGGGTAGGGGGGTGAGCACATTGATAGGGAACCTGCAGCGCAAAACCTGGGTTACAGGGGCTTACACAGGATTTTTGTCGGTATTGAAACCATTATCACCAAAGGGACCGTGAGGACCAGTTAGATTGCCAGACCAAAGAGTGCTCGCCAGTAAGTGTGTCTGGGTGATCAGGTCCCAAGCTGTGGCAAGGGCCTTGGCATGCAAGGCAAGATGCCAGCAGAGCCCGTAGGAGGTGGTACTCCTCAGGCTGGACCAGAGCAGGGTGTAACCCATCCAATGCACAAAAATTGTTAGATAGAGGCCAACAAGCAGGCAGAAGATGGGGTCAAATGACACACTGGCAGTGTGTGGTTCCCAAGAGGGAGGCACAGTGGCTGCTGGAGTGTTGTGGGCTGTTCGAGGGGTTGTTGAGTCAATAGAAGGAGGATAAGGGGGCACTGGGAGTGGGCTGGTGCCAGGGGCAGGAGGGGAGATCCTGTTGGGGTTGGAGTGTTGTTGTAGGAGTTGGGATGTAGCATGGTTGATGGTGTGTTGTAGGATAGAGGCGTGCCTGTGTTCAAGGGTGAGAACAAAGGCATCCTCCCTGATAGGGTAGGGTGTGATTCGGAAGGGTGTGATCCTCAAGATGGCTGCATGCTCTAGGAGCTGTTGGCTGATCATCTGGGGAGTGGTGTTGTGTAGTCTGCGGAGGATGGTGGATGTGGTTGGTTGGGTGAAGTGTGGGAGTGGGGGAATGTCTGGGAGGACCTTGGGTTTGAGTGAAGTAGTGGGTAGACATGGGGAAGTCATGGTGGGTGGTAGGTGGGTTGGTGGGAGAGGTGTGTATCCTGGAGTGTTGACTGTAGTGTTGGAGGTTGTATTACAGACACCTCAATACAAATTAGTCGTTTATCCCAATCTAGTTGATAGGGGATATCTATATCTATTCTCTAGTTACATACATGGGGAGTTTAACTGACCTATATGGTCACCCCCTTCACTATATCCTTTGAAGTTGAATCAATCCCAGAAAACATGGAGAAAGATCACTTCTTAGAAATAGCTTAACAGTAAAACAGTATTTTACCTTTACTAAGCTAGAGTGTTACTAGAAACCAACACTATTTCCAAGAAGTGATCATCTCGAATTCGAGATCTCGCCAATGGGATATTGACTATCTATATTGACTATCAAGTCCAGCCAATGCTATAAGGTAACCAGTTCAACAAACGGTCAGGCCGATAGTGCTGGAGCCCCACTATAAGGGCTATCCAAACAGCCTTGCAGGAAAAAGGCAACATCACGAAATCGTGCTTCACAGAGTGACTACACCAGAGGATCGACAGATCGACTCCGCAAACGAATCAGCCTAACCGAAGAGTACCACATGAAAGAGCATTACTAACTACACCACTCTATTGCTTGAACGAAGCGAATCCGACAGCAACTGAAAGAGCTACGGCCGATTGAAGATCTGCACGAAGCAACAGCTCCAGGAGTGAGCTCCGGAGCACGAACAAGCTAGCTCACAGGAGTGAGCGAGCGAACATCAAGATTCGAGCTACAGAGCGGGAAACTGAAGATCTCGTACTACGGGAATACCAGTATACGAAAACCAACTACAAGAGAAGACTCATCGCACGAAGAAGTGCATGAGTGGCAGCCAAGCTTATCTAGCTAGCTACCACGAACAGGACAAGCCCACAGGAGTGAGCTACGGAGCAGAAGCTACTGTACAATCGGAAAGCTACTGCACGGAGCGCAGCAAGGCTACTAACGGTTTGGACT